GGGGGGGGGGGCTTCAAAACTTCCCCCCGTGCCGCCTGGAGCAGGAGCTGTCAGGTGCCTGTCGCGGTGGAGGCTGGGGGGAATTCTGTCGGTGTGGGAGAGCTTCCCCTTTTGCTGGGTGCTGCTGTGGGTGGGATTTGGGTGTTGGAGTGAAGCCTGTAACTGAGTAGAGCAATGTAAGAAGGTGGTCTTCTCTCTGTAGGTGGGTGATGCCAAGCACAGCCATGAAGAAAAAGGTAAGAACTGAAAGGAGGATCCTTTGCAGTTGGGTTTTCCTTCCCCATCTGCATTTGGTAACGTCGCTGTGTTCTTTGGTTGTCAGCTGCCTCTAAAGACTGTCAGAGTCAGCAGATGCATCCTTTGCTTAAAGTGGTAGAAATCAATATCGGGTTTGAGTTTATTCGCTGGCCTGAGTGGTGGGGCAGGCTCGCCGCAGAGCCGTCCACGGTAACTGCTGTGTGAGTGTCTCTGGTACGTGTTGCAAAACCCTCTGCTCGCTGCCCGCCTCCCGCAGCGCCAGGGAAGAGGAATGCTCCAACCTGCTTTGCTGGACGGTGGGGAGACACTTCTGGAGTGTTACAGAAACTCGTGCAGGGAGCCTGTGATTCACTGAGAGCTCCTGGGAGGGTGAAACTTAACACACAGGGAAGGAGTAGCATTTTTACTGAGAATCCAGGAGGGGATACTCCAGCAGTAAGCATATTCAAAGTCATTAGAGCGGTTGCGTAGAGAATATACGGCTGTCTGTCCGTTGTGTGCTAGGATTGGGTTTCCTGCCTGGCCCTACGTGTCGGTGTCTGAGCCCTTTGAAGGGCTTCTGCAGTCTAAAACCTGGGAACTGGGTTCGCCTGTAGGCTGCCCTGTGCCTCGGGGCCATATTGAGTTTCTACGTGTGCTTTTTCTGCAGGCGGTATGAAATAAGAGATGCTGATGTTGTCTCTTTCCGCCCTGTGCGTAGCTCAGGGGAGAAAACAGCGTCGCTTTCCAGGGCTTTGCTCCGGAGAGGCTGGAGGGTGTGACCTGCCCAGACCGCCTCTCTGCGGAAAAGTCCTTATTACCAAATCATGGTGGCGTGCGGTCAGCTTCTTTTTGGAACGGGCGCTCGCCAGCCTGTGAAACATTGCAGTCACTCTCAGAAGGTTAACTTGTGGAAACAGGATGGTGCAATTCTGCCTCTCCTGTTTTGCCCTGAGAGTCTGGCAGCTGTTGCCATGCAGTCGCGGAGAGAGGTTGGGAGTCAAACAAATGCCTTCCCAGTTAGCGTTTGGCACTGGTGCGGGCTGGGCAGGCAGAATCGGGGCAGTTGCACTCTCGTTAAACCTATCCTTGATGATACGTTTTCAGAGCTGTTGCCAAAGGCTGAATTTGACTTTGTAACTGGAACTTGTTTAACAGCTGTTTCTGTGAGCAAGTCTGTGTTGGCTGTCACTGTTGGGTTTTTTTTTTTAAATTTTTATTTTTAGATCACAGTGTAGAGTCTTGCCTTGTGTGACTGTCTCCCCTCTTCCCTGCCCCAAGCCTCATGACAAGAAAGACATTGAGGCGCTGGAGCGTGTCCAGAGAAGGGCAACGGAGCTGTGAGGGGTCTGGAGCACACGTCTGGTGAGGGGCGGCTGAGGGCCCTGGGGGTGTCCAGCCTGGAGAAGAGGAGGCTGAGGGGAGACCTTCTCGCTCTCTACAGCTCCCTGACAGGAGGGGGGAGCGAGGGGGAGTCAGTCTCTGCTCCCAAGGAACAGGTGAAGGGACAAGAGGAGATGGCCTCAAGTTGCTCCAGTGGTGGTTTAGGACGGATATTAGGAGAAATTTCTTCCCCGAAAGGGTTGATCAGCACTGGCACAGGCTGCCCAGGGCCGTGGTGGAGTCCCCATCCCTGGAGGGATTTAACAGAGGGGCAGCCGTGGTGCTGAGGGACGTGGGTTGGTGGTGGGTTTGGCAGTGTGAGGTTGATGGTTGGACCTGATGATCTTTAAGGTCTCTTACAACCTAGACGATTCTATGATTCTAAATCATCCCCTAGCTGACTAGCAAAGGTGCTACCTCTTCTTTGGCCTGACGATCTGCAAACTGGACTCTGGAGTCACATGTCTCCCCCACATGATAGCCTGGTGCACTTAAAGTGGGCTGTCCCATCTGCTTTTAACTTTTTGCTGGTCTTCTGACGCATGAAACTTGAAATGTAACTCGTATCTCACTTCTGTCGGGGAAGAGAAACCGAGCCATGTTTCAAGAAGAAAAAGGGTGAGATTAGGAGAGAAGTAATGGGTGGACAGTCTCAGCGCCGAGTAGGCAAGGGGTTGTTCCCAGCCTGGTCTTAAAGGCTTGCGATAAAGCTGTTCTTTTGTCTTGGCAAAGTCCTTTGCTGTCATCAAAAACATTGAGCCTTCACCTGTGGTGCAAGTGCGTTTGGAAAGCACGCGAGGGCAAGGGGCTGGGGACTGGGGAGGCTGCAGCAGCTTTGGGAGCGGCTCCCGC